TGTGTGTGAGAGCACGTCCACATGAAGACAAAATAGACACAGTTATGACATCGTGTCTCAATTACACACACACACACACACACACACACACACACACACACACACACACACACCTTTCGTACCTTTCGTAATGATGGCCAGGTGGCTTCACACAGTTCTACAGGGGGCTAGCTGGCTATTATGGACAGCAGCTCTGTGTGTGTGTGTGTGTGTGTGTGTGTGTGTGTGTGTGTGTGTATGTGTGCTTAGGATGTGGCTGTTCGGCTCTTAACAACAAAGTAGATTAATTCCAGTTCAAATTAATGGATGCACAGATCAACACATGACACACAGTCATGCAATGCAAATACACTAATTCAAGACACACACACACACACACACACACACACGCTCATGAGACTTCAACACAGTCATCGCACATTAGATGCAGTTGCTTACTTTAGACCAGGAATGTCCAGCATGTTTGTGAGTCCTGTCCAATTGATGTCCAGCAACTGAAAGAGAGAGAAGAAATATGATTTAGATTACAATAAAATAGGGGAGAAAAATGTTTCAGAGGTAAAACATGGTCTCCAATCCAGCTAACTGCTCCTGTTAATGAAAAACACACACACTTGGAAACTAAGACTTCCCACCACAGTTCAGCTTTTATGGAGATAATCAACTGCATGTACGACCAGACATTTCATGCAGCACCTTTCTTCACAAAAAGTTCAGAGTTTGTGTTGAAAATATATAAAAAATACACAAAAATACCACAACAAAATTTCATTCTCAGACTTTTTTTTGGCAATGTCAAGGTTTTGTGTCAGTTTGTCAGGAAATAAATAATCTGTAAATTTGCATATTTATGAGAAGAATTCAATGTTTTATTAACTATCAAATGATGATAATTTTTCTATAAAAGCAGGCTACGTTTAATGGTATTTATGACACATTTAATGGTTTGTAAGAATATTTTTGGGGCGATGTTGTGGTATTAAAATAGACAAAATTATTAGGGCTGGGTATCGATTCAGATTTTCCATATCGATTTGATTCGATTTTCAAGGACTCAGTTCGACCCGATTCACGATTCGATTCGATTCGATTCAATTCAGTTCAATATCGATTCAGTCAAGTATATTTCAATTATGATACAAAATTTGCTTGGATATTAAGATATTTTCTGAGAACTAATGAAGTATATTTAACAAGGAACCCTCTGACCTGGTGCATTACTATTAAAAATACTGTTTACATTAAGAATTGACCCCAAAGCAGTACATTAGTCATCATGTACTTTTATTTAACATTACCTGACCAATACATACAAAATAAATATTTTAAATTAAATCTAATCACAAGGCAGACAATTTAAATGAAGTGGCTACAAAAAATGTAAACAAAGGACATCCACAAGTTTGCTGCCTGTAACCGTCTTATAAACCACTACAGTGGTTGTGATGCACACATTGACTGTATCAGAAGAGAAACAATATACGTAGGTGAACCCTGCAGCAAAGTGAACCCTCTTCCTCAGAGAAGATCTTTGCTTCCCAGTTTGTTCCTGGCGGCAGAGCAGAGTGAACCGTCTTTCTTCTCAGAGGATCTTTGTCCCATGAGAGCAGGCACGCTGCTCTCTGTGTCCGCAGTTTAAACAATGTTCGCTGGCGATTTGACAGTCACTAGAAGCACATTATGACCCTTTGTAAAAGTTTCTGTGTGGTACATGTGTTGTACATGAGCTAACGTTAGCGGCTAAGGAAGGACTGAGAGGCTGTCCGGTATGTGTGTGTGTGTCTGAGTGTCTGAGGAGCGTCAGTACGTTAGCTTGTTAGCCGTAATGTTAGCCTTGCTGTTTGTCATGTTAATGTTATCGTCGGCAGCCCCGAATAGCATGCCAACGCTAAGTTAACTTTACCAGCAGATCTGCATGAGGTACAAACTGAGGCTACAGTTAGAAGTGTGCTGATGCTTAGTGGTATTTCTTAATCTTTTCTGTGAAACTGATGTGCATTTAATAAACATTCGTACATTATTAGCGTCATATTTTTAAGGGAAAATGCGAGTGAAAATACTTGCACCGTAGACCCATGCCTTCAGTGGATGTGCTCCCACCATTGTTTGCTGCTCTGTCTTCATTCAGTGTCCGGCCGTCTCGCGAGATCTCTCGCCATGACCTCAGGTGCTAAATGTTGATCTCGCGAGACTACTTGATAGTACTGCAGGCTGCTGCAGGCTGCTACCGGCTTTACAACACGTCCACGGAGGAAAATAGTTATAGTAAAAGATCGATTTTTTAATTAATGAATCGATATCGTGCCATTTAAAGGAAAATCGATTCGGATCGATTAAATCGATTTTTTCAACCCAGCTCTAAAAATGATTAAATAAATGCTGGAACTAAATATTTGCAATTTCTCTAATCTGCTCAATCTTAATAAAAAGTCTAATCCTAAACTAAAAATGCTTTGAGGAACACTGTATATCTCACTCGCACTGAGTTCTTCTTCTACACATTATCAGCTCCCCACTCTCTGACGGCATCATGACTCAGCAGAGCAGCAGCAGGAGCTGAGGAGCCCGACTCTCAAATTCAATCGACCCGATAATCAATAGAGCCGAGCAGATTGTGTTAGCCTTCGGACATCCAGGAAGTATGTTGTAAGGTACTTTAGAAATGATGTTACATTAGCACATAAACAGCTGTTAGGTGCTACAGTAGATAAGAAAAAGTCAAAGTAAGACACAAAATGTGAAAACAGTTTTCTCATCAACACTAAAAGAACCGCTGATGGGACATTATGCAAAGAAATACTCAGTAAGTGAAAAACAACAGAGACAGACAGAAAACACAGCGTTTACAGCAGTAATGAAGATCTCCTTATATTAATATAAATCAATTTAGCCAAGATGGATTCATTTTTAGTAACATAATCAATTTATAGCTAGTCAGAAAAAACTCGAGGTTTACATTCTTAACAGTATAAAAAACAACTAAAAAAAAAAAACAAACACAAATAAGGTTTGAAAAAATACCTAATAATAATAACATAACTAACATAAACATATCACATTACCATTTTTGTAAATGATCCCTCAAATTTGGTTATTAAAAAACTGAGACCATATAAGATATGTACTGAGCAGAGCACTGAATGGTGGAAAAATAAACTTATCAGTGCATATCTTGCCCTTAAATGTCATCTTATTCTGCAGACATATACGGAAAGAATGACAATAAAAAGTGATCATAGTAATACATTTAAACCTAGAAAACTAGGAGACAATAAAAGCACAGAGTTGAGCAGGGCATAAAATCAAACATTAAAAGCAGTGTCACAAAGGTACAGATACCAATATGTCTGCAGTGAGCCAACAGGGGATGATACAGAGGTTAAGCTCTGGTTTGAATGTGGAAAAAAAATCAATCTGTATTTGTCTGTATGAATTAAAAATTCACTTTGTACAAACACTCTAGTGATGAAGCAATGCACTCTGATCTAATGTAATGCTCTTTCCCCCTCTCAGTGAATTTGTACTCTTCCAACAGCATGATGGAGGAACAAGAGTGCAATGCTGAACATAAGTAATGTGCAGCAGCTTTTTTGACATCTTTACTCTAGATGGCAAAATTGTGGATAAAGGTAAGGCTATGTGCTGATGTAAAATGCAACAACAAATCTAAGACATTATCTACCTTTTGAATTATTTTTTGACAAAGTGACTGTCCTACTGAGTGTGTGTGACTTCAGTGCACACGACTACAGGCTCCATAACCTCTTGGCATGGCAAAAAAAGAAAAAGAAGAAAACAAATCCAACTGGCTTTCAGAAGGAGCGCAGACAGATTATCACAATCCCATAACAATATGAAGTTGCGATGGGATCTATAAAAGACAGACTCCTGAATTCACCACTACAATGCTTTCACCATTTCAGTTATTCAACATAAGCTGTTAACACTGACCTCCCAGACCGTGTGTCTGAGCCTTTCAGCTGGTCAAGTACAGACAGAACAGTATGAAGATATGTAATGATAATCCTTAAGGAGGTGCTGCACCGCACCATGTATTTATTGGCATAACAGCAAAAATTCTGTGCAAATCTGAGTTTGCACAGATGATGAAACCCAACGTTGCAGGTCAGCGATCAGATCCACATTTCAAAAAGGGAAAAATCCAAACATTTTAACTTTTTATATTCAGCCTGGTTTTCTAACCCAGTTATGAGGCTTATATACTTCAACATAAAACTGGGTTACCTGAGCAACCAGATTATGGAGGAGGAAGTCACATTTTGAACATTAAGTCAATCAGTTTGTCAGACAGGAACCTCCAAACAGTCATGCAGTAATAGGCAAGGCTGAAGCACGGCACAAATACCTGACACACCCTGAAATCTGCTAAATATTGTGGTTACTGCTGCTGTCATAGCAGCTAACACTGGTGCTAACAACTGCATTACAAGCAGCAATAATTATACAGGACAGCTGCAGTAGCTGGAGTAGAATTAGTACTGTTATACCTGCATGTAGTACTAGCAGTGATGGAGCAATAACTATAGTAGGAATAGTAGCAGAGGCAGTATTAGTACACAATATGGCCAGAGGTATATGGACATACATGTGATTCCCAAATCCAATAATAACAATAACAGCCCCAGAACAACAAGTACACAACAGTATGTGAACAGGGAGTCCAAATAGCTTAGAGGTAGCAATTATACTAGAATTACTGCCTCGTGGTTGTGTGCCTCCGCCAACCAATCAAGTTGCAGTTTACATCCATATCTTCCCAGACTCACATGTAGCAGTGACAATGCTTCAAATATGGATGTTGCTGCAAAGAAGCTATATATTCTAAGACATGGACGCTTCACACATCTTCAACCCCACAGTATGGACGATCTGTACAATCAGCACAGTTTCAAGATGGACACCCAAGATTAGTGTCACCAATTCAGTATCTGACAGAATATTTGAGTTCCTTCTGTTCCTGAGTTATGGTTTGAAAAATGGCCACAAAAATATTATGATGCTGATTATCACTTCATCATTTTATCCCATTTAACATTATTAGTGAGACCACCAAAACCAGTTCATCCTCGAGTCGAAGTGGACGTTCGTGCCAAATTTAAGAAGATTCCCTCAAGGTGATCTTGAGCTATCACCTGATGAGAATGGAATGGTTGGATGGACAGAAGAACAACCTGAAAACATAACCTCCAGCCATGGCTGTTGCCCATGCAGACGCTTAAAAAGTGGTGCCAACAGCTGAAGCTGCTAGTAGTACCAGTAATTCTAGTATTAGTAGTAACAGCAGCGATAACTCGACTTTCATTTGAATGGTCCTTTTACAATAAAGACGTATTTCTTCAGCATTTTATAAAACTCTGTTGTCCAAGCAAACTGTAATAAAAATTAGCAAATTAGTAATTTGCTGCAACAATAAACTAATTGATCAATTAGTCGACAACAACAAATTAATTAGCAACTATTTTGATTAATCACT